AAAGTAAACCTTGATTGATTAATTGATTTTTTTTTTAAATTAATTAATTAACAGATTGAAGGAATCACGTACATTTTCCCAAAAAAGTTGATACAGTAAAAGTCTCCTAAATTAATCGGACGGAAAGACAACTTATTGTTTTTAACTAAGTCAATTATTACTTTAAGATCTTACGCTATTCGCAACTCATCCTATATAATGTTAAGATCATAACTTTAACTTAAGTTTACATTAACTCAACGTTGGATAAAGTTGCGCTTGATTGATAATATTTTATGATTTTTCGTCAATTTACTAAACTCATTTATATCACTTACAATAATCGCCGTTCATAACTCAACCAATTCTAATGTTAAGTCTACAAATTAAGTTCATTATGAAAATTCGAGCAATTAACATCAAACGTTAAATCTATAATTTTATATAAAATTTAACATTAGAAAAAGTTGTGTAATTAAGATTAAGAGATGTTCGACGTAATTTTTAACAGCCTTAAAAATTGTTTACAAAAATCAAGAGATTCATACGTTACATCTATAACTTTTGTTTTTTCATTTTTGGAGATATTTTTCGGTCTTAACATTTACTGAAGTGTTCTTTTTCATATATCACTTGGTCTATGCAGATTTGCAGAGGTTGGGAACCAAAAAAAAAAAATATATATAAAAGTAACAGGAAAAAAAAAACCAACAAAAATAATAACGATTTGCTTCAATTTAGCCCACGAAAACTGAATAATTTTAGACACAATAATCCATGTACAAAACGAAATATATATAAAAAAAAACCGTTTATTTTCTTAATCGATGCGGCTTAATCGACGGTTAAACTAATCACTTGTTAAAGTAGTAGTAATACTGATGTGGCAAATTTCGTTGAGCACGAAACCAAAAAGAAAAACCTATTGTAAAGAGATACAAATTTTATTTTATTTTTTAATAACGACAGAGGAAAAACTCTCTGAATTCGACTCGATAGGAATTTAAGATGTTTAAACTTTGCGGTGATCGGAAAATAATGTAATTTAAAAAAAAAACTAATAATAATAAAATAAATATTAAGAATCTTGGTGAAATGGAAAACGCTTAAATAAATACAAAAGAAATATGAAAATCAGGAGGAAATATTGAAATATGAATTACTATTGACAGCAATTTAAAATTATATAAAAGAATAACAGAGCGTATGCATTTAAAGCCTACTTTGAACACTATCATATTCTTAATATCAAACTGGTAGATGTTAGATCTAAGTAGTTAATGAAGGTTTAAAGCGGATTTGCTTGAGCTGTAAGAACTAATGAACTACTTCATTAACTACTTACGCAATGCAAATTTTTTTTTTCCGTTAAACTTAAGATTTTTGAAACTGCAATAGCGAATAAATTCATCAAATAAAGAAAGTAGTGATTCGGAGCTTCGGTCAACTGTACGAGCTTATCGAGCTTTAGCTCTTTGACGGGGAAATCGTAGTGTTTAGATGAGGCTTTACGGTGAATACAATATCGTTTCTTATTTCCCATTGTGGAAAGTTGTACCACGATTATTAATTATTATTATTATTACATGATCTACGTTTTCGATTTTTATCCCCTTGTGTAAATTTCTCTCTATCTTTGTGATCCTCTCCACTTTGTATGTCTCTTTAAAGTGATTTATTAATATAATAAATAAATATATATATAGATATATGCAAAACACACATATGTATATTTTTTGTAAAACGGTTGAAGTGATTTTTGTGTAGCTAACTACTGTCTCTTTGTTCGTATTTTTGTTTTTTCTTTTTGTTTAAATTGGAATGCATTATAACTACCATATATTAAATATATTATATATTGTTAACACAGTGTGTTATGGAAGATATCTAGAATAAAACGTTCGAAATGTTTCAAATTCTTAAAAAAAAACTGATTCTCAGACACTTTGATTTCATCTTTCGTTTTGGTACAGAAAATGATTAATTACCATAGCAACTTTTTAAAATTATAATCTAATCCTTATCACAATTGAAGGAAGAAACAAGTAAGTTGTATCAAATTGCATCAGGTATACCACAAGGTAGTGTATTGGGTCTTATTATATCAGATAGAAGACTGAATAATATGAAAATAATAATATATGTGCAACAATTAAAAACCATTTTCTTAAGTTTATTAAGTTATTATAAATTTGTACCAAAATAATTGCGTATAGAATTACTATAATTTATTTTAATCTTATAAGTGTTCACTTTTTAACTCGAAGTCACGTACATGATGTTAACAATAATAATTTGTATTGACTGAGCATAAACAATGGAATTGCAAAGCATGCAACGACTTCAACACACAAAGTTTTACATTTGTTCATAAAAATAACTATGTTTTCATTAATAATAATCATTTGTAGACAATTAGTTTAATATTTCATAGTTTTAATTAAATTCTAAATGTGAATTTTCAAATCGTTCATAAGTTTTTATTTTTTCTTTTGTTGGATTTTTGTGTTATTGTGAAAGAAATGACATGAAAAGATACAGGTAATAGAGTTTGAACTTAATTCGTCAACTTTCCGTAAGAGGGTATTTGTTTCAGATATATTTGTGTTTCCCTTACTACATGTATTGATGCATAGTACTTGGTAAGTATCGCGTATTGTGTAGCTCACTATATTTATACAATTCTCATAATATTTTCCAAGTACTTATACCAATACAAGTTACTTGACAAGTTTTTTTATGACCATATTTTTGCATCCCTTACCAATTCCTAGTATTTATTAGGTTTATATTTGAATTGGGGAATTTGAATCAGTTATTCAGATATTGTTAATTGGAACGAAGGATTAATATATTGGTAATAGAGTTGTCAATCAATTTGTAATTCTATCGTTAGATGGTGCTATCATCAACGTCAATTATAATTCAAAATCTATCAACTTGACATAACGGTTTTGAGCATCGTCCGCCAAAATTTCACCACGAAGACATTGATCTTGCTGCAGATCTTCGCAATAAGATGCAGTAGCTTCCTTCTTCTGGAAACACATAAGTTGTTACAACTTTAGATTATCTAAGTGTTGGTAAGTATAAAACTTTATACACAATTTTTGACATTTCTAAGTTTTGTTGCAAGTACAAATAAAATTCAATTCTCTTAATACTTGTGATAATACAATTAATCACACACTGTAAGTAGATTAATTTATTCAAAAGACATGGAATTGTGTCATTTGTGTATCCTTAGTACTTTTAATAATATAAATTAAATTAGTAAGTATTGTTTTGTACTTAAATATTGACAAACAAACTTGTCAATCCTACCTTAAGTTTGACATATCTAAAGTTTCTTTTATTATACACAGAAGTATGTAATATTACGAATTATAAGGTAAGTTGAACGCAGTAAGCAGTCTTCTTTATATAGATTTAGCAGACACAATGTTTACTTCTTCCTCTTTTGCTCAACTGAATACTATATATTTAAATAACATGAAATTGTTGAGACAAATCATGATGTTTTCCATGAACAACTTTTCAATAAGTTTATTCATATATGTAAGTATATAGTTATAATGTATTTAAACTATTGTTATTGCTTTGAATCTGTTTTTCATGTCCAATTAGATTGTAATTAGTAGTTTTGAAGATACTTGGTGCTTCGTTGTTCTGCTACAAGAGGGTGCTACCACCAGACACAAATGCAGTCCGAAAGCGCAATCATGTTGATAGTGTTATCAGCATAATTGAATAATAATTGCTTGTACATAGATTGTTTATCATAAGCAAACGCGGATAGCGAGCGGAACGAGTGTGTGAATCGCGAACGTACAGATTGTAGAGTGTTGAAAGGTCAAAAGGACCCAAGTCCAGACCTGGTCCATCGGATCAGGTGCTGCCCCCAAGCGAGCGCAAATCATACGCATGCATGCATGTTTATGTGTGTGTGTATGTTTGTCCTCTCCTCGTGAGTGTGTGTGTATGTGTGTGCGTGCGCGCGTGTGTGTGTATATTTAGGCTCGCCCATCTTTATCCCTTTTTGACGTTATTAATAATTTTGACCAATTTAACAAATATCCTCGGTGCCAATTATGCCAGCAGTGTTCGTGAGTGCAGTCTGACGATCCATTGGTAGACGAACCGGCCTCCCCGTGTGCTAAAGTGCAGCGTTTCTTCCTTCCTCTTCCTCAGAATGGGTAAGTGCCAATACTCGAAACGCCGGCAAACTAATAGAAACAAAAGGTAGACGCGGTGGACGACGGAGATGATGGTCAGAGATCGGAAAACCAGTATCAAGTGGGCAACGCTTTTGCCCTTTGACCAATCCAATTGGAAAATACTAGAATTCTTATTCGATGCCATAGCGACCCGCAGTAACAATAACAACAACAATAACCTCGACAACAACGGATAAACAACAATAACAATAGATTGCAAAACATTGCAGGTCGATTTTACGGCACTAACCTAGATTCAGCATTAGGGGTTAAAATCGATACGAAGGGCTCCGCCGCGTCTGGGGTGGGTTTTTATTACCCTCCCAGTTCCCCGCTGTGCGACAAGGGGGTTGTTGGTGCAGGAGGGTTGGCGGTTTTCGGTTAGCTTCCGAGCACGCGCCTTGCATTCGACCATCCGGTTTTCTCACCTTTTACCTTAACGTTATTATTAGGTTTCGGTCCAAAGCGACACCGGTTTCCACGGAGCCCGCGTTGTGTAACGAAATTTACATAAGACCTTGACTCATATATCGTATGTCCATCTATCTCTCTGCCGTGTCAATAAAATCGGAACGCGCCTACGATTCAATTGTTTTCCTCTTGTCCCCCTGGAAATTGTTGCTATCCATCAATTGTTGTCATTTGTTTCTGTCAATTCTTTTGTAATTTTTTGCAACTTTATCGATTGGTATTAAACCTACCTTTAATTATCATCTAGATTGTAACCTATCTTGTTGATCTATGATATCTGAGATTATTTGATAATCCCATATGATTCGAATGTATTGATTTCAAAGCAAATACCACAAAATTTACTAAAAATAATTGTAAATATAATATTGTAATTCATACAAGCATTTAATCCTACCTTTAATTGTCATCATGATTATAACATATTTTGCTATATATATTCCAATATCTTATATACAATCAATTTAACCATCAAGCATTTTATACATTACCAAATCACTAATTTCATTAAATTCTTCAAAATTTTGCTTTCTTGAATGATTTTCAAATTGTTATTCCTAATCTAATTGTATTCGGTACTTTTATACTTTCTTTGATCTTGTTTATGTTTGTGATCTACTTTTGTTTTTCTATTGTAATCTTGGTTATCTGATAAACATATTTTCTAAAATATCAAGTGATTCATTCACTGCCTTCTTGTTTTTCCTTTATTGTTTTTTTTAGTATTATGTACGTACGTTGAATTGCAAATAAATCCGGTATCCAAGCAACCTAAATGTAAACAAGAGTTCAAAGGCCTCGGTGCAGCAGGAGTCTCGTGCAAATAAATAAGTATATACGTGTACCTGCAATATTCAAATCGATCTGTCATTGTGATTACATTTATGGTATCTAGAAAAGTCTATATTGATATCGCACCAAATAGATAACATTCATATTTCATAAATACATACAAATATTCGCACGCCATACGTTGCGAATAATTGTTATAATACTTGCGTATCGGAATTATAAATTGGACAAAAGTTATATAATTTATAGTTTCAATAATCAGACAAGTATTGCATTGCGTTTAATGGTATTTCGGTTAGTGATTAATTATTTATTATGCTGCAATAAATCTAAAGAACTGTACCTAATCTTATCTTCAAATAAACTGTTTTCTTTTATATCTTATCTGTACAATTTCGCAATTCATGATTGTTAATAGGAATATACGTAACTTGAAAGTCGGTCTTTAACTGTCAACAAATATTTAACTTTTATATAATTATCGTTGTCAAATGTCATTTTTAAGTTTGTAATTTTTGTCAACTTTGACGTTAAATTTGTCATTTTTTCACTTCATGTTTCACTGATAACTGATATAACTTTAAGAAACAAAAATGACAACCTAACATGAATTGACGTATCGATAACCTAGTTTTCAGATCTAACCTAACCTATTTAAAGACGTTTTTATTAAAGGCACGCGGCGTCGCAAATAGACGTCGATTTCGTAAGTTTCTATGAAATTTCATGTAAAATGCAATTCTCGTTTTCCCAGAACATCGTTTGAAATTCAGTGTCAAAACGACATTGACACGCATTAGCACTATTCATTTGTTGTCCGATCGAACGAAGGTCGACCCAATTTGATTCTGAGTCGATAAATCAAAACCGATCGGTGTCGAGCAAATAAATATAGAACTGTTGCATACGAAATTCATGATTCACGGCGTTTTATTTTTTTTGTCGAAGCGAAGGCAAAACTTAGTAATTATAAACCGGTTCAGGTTATTTTCGAAATCTTCCGCAATTTGCAAATTCAACTACGAACAACAACAACAATCTCATACTTTTTATTGCAATTGATTATTCTGTTATGTCAACGTCTTTCATTTCGCTTTAAGGAAGTTGATCCGATACGTTTTTTTTCCATCTAAATGTTAAGCATCAATTGTCCATTGTGTTCTCTCTTTCCGTGTGTAATCCTTTTTAAAGCCTTTCACTTTCAGCAGCCCTCTCGCACGTTGAAGAAGGAAAGAAAAAAGAAAAGTGCACTAGAAATGACCTTTCCCACCATTCCACTTCTCGGGTTTCATCTGCACGACCCTTCTCAACGACCCTAATCCAAGGGATCAACATCAACCCCAATCTGTTCCACGTAATTGCATTACGAAAACCCGCGTTACGATTTAACAATTTCACTTCTTCCGTCGCATTAGCTAACTGTACCTTTTGATTAATTACATCATTGCATGTTTCTTTACACACATTTTTTGCAGTTGATGGATGTACTTAGTAACATTATATGCGTTTCATGCTGAGGCATTTTCGAGTTTATATCCATTTTTAGCTGCGAACTGTATCTTTTGATCAATTACTTGGCAAGTCTCAAGTTTCTCTTCCTGGGTCAATAGCAATTGCGACATTTTCTTCTCATAATGATCTTTTCGTTTACAATTGACATTTCACGAAAGCTTTAAAATATTGTTATATAACTCCAAAGATCAATGATCCATTTTCGACCCAATCATTTATAACCTATTTTTTGATGCTTTGACACAAGGTGACAGCTGTCATTTAAGCTACGCGAACCAACATACTTCTTTGAAGTTGCACTGTGATCCAATTAGTGATGAAATTTAGACACCTTAAACATATGTCCCAATACTGCGAATCGTAGAATGAGAAACGCTATTCTACACGATTGAACAATCTCAAACAACATTTTTTCCAATTTAAATATAAATCCATGATTCATTGCTGTACAATCAGAATATTATATAATGATCAATTTATATATACTTTTATTGTAGATAAGTATTATCTCAACTGTGATGATGAGACTTCCCTATTCGCGTTACACTGGTTCGAAGAATGCGAGGTTATCTTAACACGCTTTTCGTTGCAGAATCGAATCATCGTCGGCATTCCGCGAAGTATGCGCTCCAAGAATATTCTTGTTTTATTTGGAAAGATCCGCATGTTTTCGTTTTCCAGATGGGAATTATCGGAATAATATCGTTGAATTTACACGACCGAATGACTAATAAATGCTCGATAATCTCGCTGTAATCCACGTCTCTAAAAGCCACTAAGTTATTCGGTTGTAATGTAGATCAAGAGATTAGCTGGGATTATGTAGTATATTTTATAACTGAAATATCAACATATTTATTGTTATATTTTTTTAAAACGTTTGAAAACTTCCTTTCCAGATTATGATTGTAAATTACTTTTATTACATGCAATTTGTAGTATGTTTTGTGTTATGAAATATACAATTTTTGGTATAAAAATTTGAATTTGCAGATATGTTAGAAGCTGGACTAAAAGTCTCATCAATCATCTGCAGTTTTGTTAACTTTTGTTTTTGGGAAGGAAGACCTGATTTAAGAACGTGTTATTAGTCGTCTTAGTCCTGTGCCAAGTATTTTGAAAGATTTAAGATACATTTGCTGCACTAAAATAGTTCATTTTTAACTTTTACTTATTTCTAAATTATTTATGTTTTGCTAATGTGTATTTTGCGATAAATTAAAGGTCTATAACTCGTTTAAGGAGAAAAACAAAATAACATCACAGTTTGAATGAAATATTAAGAAAATGTGTACGTTGATATGTAAATGGTAAAATAGTAAAGTGTACGTTCGTATGAACATCGAGTACGTTAGAGCGAACGAAGAGATTCGTTTTTACGCAAAAAAATATTAAATATAATAATTGAATGCCAAATTAACGCAATTTGTATGCGCATTTTGTACATTAACTGTTTTTTGAGTATAAAATGTGTATTTTGAATTTTAAAACTCGTTTAAAGAATAAACTAAATAACATCACGGTTTGACTGAAATAAAATTGAAATTTGTTCGCTGATATATGTAAATGATATAATAGCCAAATGTACGTTCGTATGAACATCTAGTACGTTAGAGCGAATGAATAGATACGTTTGTACAAAAAAAACTTAAGATACTACAATTTGTGTATGCATTATGTACGTTAATTGCATTTTTGTGGATAATATGCGTATTTTGTGATATATTAAATATGTTAAATTCTAAAACTCGTTTAAGGAAAACAATAAATAACAACACGGTTTGACTGAAATTAAATTGAAATGTGTACGCTGATATATGTAAATGGTTTAATTGCAAAGTGTACGTTCGTATGAACGTCGAGTACGTTAGAGCGAACGAAAATTTGAATTTAATGTCGGATTAACGAATTCGAAAATTTATGTACGCATTATGTACGTTATCTGAGTGTATTTGAAATATTTAAACATTCACTAATTGGCTTAAGTTACTGGAAATTTCTAATATTTGTATTGACCTTTCATCGTAAGTACTTGTTTGTGTTTGCTGAGAGAACGTGACGTGATGAAGAAAGGCTCGATAATATTTGTATCCTCACGTTACAACGGCGTCCATTAATCCGAGATTAAGCTCGTTAGTGGACGATAACGACACGCCGCAAATGTGGAATCCACATTTTCAATCCTCGGTGGACGCTGTTGCTGA